TGCCTCGAGGCAGACGTGCCCCTCGCCGAACCCCCCCCCCTGCCCCAGGTATGGAACTGCAGCTGCCGAGTTCATCACCAGTGGAGAGGGATTGGCAGAGGGAGGCAGAATTCAGTCAGGCCAGCTCTCGTCAGGCCACGCTCTGGCTTCTGGTGGGAGCCAGCTCTTCCCCTTGCCCACCCCACGGCGCTCGTGGGGGCGGAGGCTTTAGTTGCTGTCCTAGGGGCTGAAGCGCACGCTACGGGAGACTCTCTTGGCCCGGATTTTGCTTACCTTCGTGAAGGCAGCCAGCTCAGTGTTCATGAAGGCCAGGAACTCCCTCTTGGAGAGCGTGCAGTTGTCCCCTTCGCGCCCTGCGTACCGCTGGAAGACGGCCAGCAGGGACTCGATGCAGCGTTCTGTCTCGGTGGGCTGCAGGAGCAAGGGCAAGTTCAGGCCAGCGTTGCGGGGAGCTCTGGGCTTGCCGAAGAGCAACCTGACCCTATTTCTGGAGGAAGGCTGGGCTGAGGGGGGCCTCCTGCGATTGCTTTCCTGGAGGAGTCTCCTATGCCCAACCTGTCCAGCTGCATTTTTCTTTGGTATCAGTTTCTCTGATGCCTTGGCACAGCACTGCGGTGGGGGAAGGACCCAGAGGACTGGGGAGTGGTTCATGGAAAATCCCCTGGGGACATGTCAGTTCCCATCGGAGGCGTGTCCCGGACTGGGAAGAGCTTGCGTTGCAACCACAGCGACGTGCTAGTTTTTTCCATGCTCTCCAGCACGGCTTGGCTGGAGTTGCTTTTTTGGAAAGATAAGCCTGCCTCCCCCCTTTCCATCCCCCTGCCCTGTCTGGACGGAGGAGAAATTCTGAGTCATAAGAGAAAAATGCGAGCAGAGTTGGCTCCCCAGACTACTGCCCCTGGGCAGGGATGGAGCTGGCCTGGCCTATGGGCTTCTCCAGCGGGGATAGACAGGGCAAGGTGAGGGAGGTGGGGGGGATGTGGGGCTCTTTCCCCTCCCCGTGGCTCCAGTCTTTGGGGAAGGGCAGTGCAGGGAGTGCTGGGAGGAGTCCGCCCTTCCCTGCCTAACCTCAGCGTCCTGGGGCCTCCCTGCCACATCCTGCCCTGCCTGAGGCTCAGTTCAGCCTTTTTTGGTTAACGTGAGAGGAGCTGAGTTGCTTCTACCGTCAGGAGGTGCCCCCCCCCCCCCCCACCACCCCCCCCCCCCACCCCCCCAGGGGGGGGGGGGGGGGGGGGGGGACGGACGGGACGGTGGAGGCAGAGCTGCAGCCACGAGTCCGGTGATGGGCATCGGAAGCATCGGTGGGAAAAAGGAGGAGAGGGGAGGAGAGGGGAGGAGAGGGGAGGGAAGGGGGTGGGGGGGAACAACACAAATGCCACCCCCTGGTCCCCCACAACTGCAGGGACCCTCTGCCCTCCCTCTCTAGCTCTGCACCCTCTTCCCGCGCCAGGCCCCATCCCCGGCAGAGATTCAGCTCAGCCCTTGGCACCGTCTGCTCTTTCCCGTGCCAAAGCGCATCTCGCCTTCAGCTCTGGGGCCACTTGCGGGAAACGCTCCTCTGCCATCGCCCTCCTGCCCTTACGGAGCCGGCTCTCCCTCCCCATCCCGGGGTCCTGGCTCACTCACCATGGCTGGGGTGCGAGGAGGGGGCTCGGTCCTCGGCACGGCCGCGGTGCAATGTAGCAAAGCAGGAGCTGGGGCGGTTATGAGCTTCACCCTACAGCCAGCGCCCTTCCTGGTGCAGCCAGCGCCCAGCCCTGACTCAGCCCCCTGGGCTGCGTTGGGCAATCGTCAGCTCTAACGGCAGATCTGGACGCGCCTGCAGTCCCCAGCTCAGGCTCAGGAATGTGCGGGGCCCCTCCTCTAGGTTCTCTGTCCCTTTCCTTCCTGAGTTTTATTCCTTACAGTTATTTACACTCACATTTTCTCCTTCTTAACTGTTTTTGTCCCTCGGTCCTTTGCCACTCCGTCCCTTTATGGCTCCCTTCATTTCTTCCCCAGGGTCAGGGCTAAGCCCCCCCCAGGGCTGCCTCGCTGCTACCTGGAGCATCCTCAGTGTTTCCTCTTGCTACTGCGAGATTTGGGCTTCCCCAGCTTTGCTAATGAGGCCGGCAAAGGCAGATCAGGCACAGGAGAGCAGGCAGCGTTCCCCTGCCGACACAGCTGGGGCTGCCCACCCTTGGGGGCCATCTGCTGCCTGTCCCCTTCAACCTTGACCTGTCCCACCTGCTGAGCTTTGCTGATAACACCTTGGAACCTTCTCATGTTGTAAAAGGGGGGGGAAGGCAGCCCCGTGGGGTTGGGGGTGCTGCGCTGGGAGCTGGCTGCAGCCAGGATTTGTCCCCGGCGGTGCTGGTCTGAGCTCCCTGCCGGAGCTGGCCACCCTCGTGCTGCTGCGGAGCGAGAGGCCCTGGAGGGTTGAAAACAGGGAGACATGGAGGTGGAGGAGGGACGGGAGGCACCCAAAAGGCACCCACAAAGGCAAGTGACCTGCTCAAAGAGCTCAGAGCAGGGAGGGTGGGGGCTGCGGGGCTTGTGCTGCTCAGAAACCAGCCCATGGGGCTGTGATGTCCAGCCGCTCCCCATCCATCGGGAGCCAGGGAAGCTGCTCGGACACGTCGTGTTTACCCATGTTTGCACAGCCGTCCCGTGGTTACGGCACCCGTCTCCACGCCTTTGTGACCGGCGCTGACGTAGAATCGCCCGCCCAGGGCCGGATTTCCCTGTGACTCCCAGGCCGGGGCGGTGCCGTGTTTCCCCAAAAGCTTCAGGGGGAACCTGGAGCGGAGAGGTCGGGGTAACGCGGGCTGCCCCCACGGTGCGCGGGAGCCAGGATGTGCGCTGGGATCTGGGACAGCTTCCAGGGACGGGGCTCTTCGGGAAATCCTGCTGGAGACTGTGACTCAGCCTAGAGCAGGAGAAAGGGAAGCAGCAAATCGGGGGGACAACTGTCCCCACTATATTTTCCCTTCTTGCCCCAGTTTCCTGCCCCCAAACTCTCCTTTTTTTCTCTTGTATTTGGGAAAAAGTACTCCCTCCCCCGCTTCAACCCCTCCCAAACTGGAAACAGTTCAGTCCATGTAAATCAAAAGGATTTTCCAAACCCGGGAGCTGAGGGCAGGAAACCTGCTGCTCTTCCCCTTGGATTTTGCACTTCCACCTGCATTTTGCAAACTCCTCTTTGTGCTCCCTTAACAATAAAATCTGAGCTGCTCAGAGGGGCAAGTGTTATTTCCCCCTTTGCAAGAGCAAATCCCAGAGGGGGTTGTGGCCCGGCCCCGTCCTGCCTGCAGTGGGGGATTTCAGGAGGTTTCCGTTTCTTCCTGCTGCTGCGTGTGTTTGCAGTCAAGGCTTCGGCCCTGTTTGCAGATGGACCATCTGCGCTGCCGTATGCTTGTCACCAAGACGTGCGACCGTCACGTGCACGAAGGGGGCATCGCTGAGAGCATCGCCCCGTGCCTCCGCCTGCCCCTGGCTGGGACAGACCCTTCTGAGTCCCTCTGGCACCAGGTTCAAAACAGCACAGGATGGTGGCCGTGGCTCGATGAGCGAGAAGCCCTGGCTGCTGCCCCCTGAGGCTGCATCAGGCTATGGTGGACCTGAGGTGCCCTCGTTCCTCCTGGCTGGCCCCGTTACCAGCCAGAGGGCTCTGGTTGCATTTAAGAGCAAGACACAGATGGTGCTGGGGTTGTCCTCGCTTCTCCCTCTGTCTTCTCGCAACATTGCAGCCCCATCTGCTGCTGAGGGAATTGGTTCTCTCTTGCTCAAGGGAAAGAAAAGTGAATAAAATCTGGTTTTCTCCAGGGAGGGTCATGGGGGTCTCCATCTCCAGCCTCGTGCACCATGTGTGAGATCCGGTGCATTTTCCATGCCGTGCTGCTGCCTCTCTCCTGCCCAAGGATCCAGGAGTGCTCCCAGGTACGGGGCAGCCCAGGGGAAAAGGCAGACAGAGGCACGCGGCCAGGAAAATGTGTGTCCGGATGGCTCTTAACCAGCAGTGGCTTTGCACAGGCACATCCGCATGTCCCCACGCGGGTGTCAGATCACAGCATGTGCGGGCTGCGATGGGAGCCCCTGAAATCGTGCAGCTCAGTAGTGAAGGCCAGAGTTTTAGATGTATGTGGGCTCCTAGGCATGTAGTAGGGGGGGATTTGGTGGGATTTTCAGCAGCCCCTGTCTGGATTAAGTGCCTGGGATTAGGAGGAATGTGTGACCTGAACTGGGACACTCTCCCATCAGGCTGAGGCCCTTGTAGAAATTAGATGCAAGGATGAAGGATGGCAGCAGTCAGTGCAGTCATCAACTATTTATTCTGATTTTTCATGCAATACATCAGTGTGAAGAAGAAAGAGACCCCCCCCCACCTGCCACCATTACCCTGCGGTAACCACAGCATAACTCAGCTGCTTCAAAGCCTCCGTGAGGCTGGAGCTGGGATTCTGCTCAGCTGTTAGGGGAGCAGAAAGGTGTAACCAAAACCACTGAGTTTACAAAAGCGGTTTTTTCCCAGCCTTGAGGATTTTCAGGCCCCAGAATGAGTATGATTGAGCTACTGGGATTTTTAGGTTTTTTTTGCATTGCAGAGCAGAAGCTAACAGGAGAGCCAGTCACGGGGCTAGGCAGAGGTGAGTGCAGTGAGATGTGGAACAGTCATGCCACAGGGTAGAAGAGATGACAGGAACATAAAGGACAGAGAGACCCAAGGAATCCAATTAGAGCAGAAAAGTGACTAAATACTGCATTAAGGTGGATAGACACAATGCAGGAAGGCAGAAGCTGCAGATCCTGGGGTAACTCTCTGCCTGTCTAGCCGCTGAGGATTTGTTAGATGGAAAAATCCCAAACTCACTTGACACCCTCACAGAGCACCCCATTAACCCTTTTTTGTCGGACACTTCTGTGCCACCACATGGTAACCTCCTAAACCGAAAGCAGAGAGCAGAAGTGATCCTCAAAGCGACTCGGAGAAGACCCACCAGCTCCAGGGAGGGGACTTGCCCTTAAGGTGCTTTGGCTTCGTCCCCGGCAGGACAGCTCGGTGCCTTCTGTGAGACCCGGGGGCTGGGGGGACCCTGGCTCTGCTTGGTGCAAAGACGTGGTTCCTCCTCCCGTTGAGGCTGGGCGTCGCTCACTTGCTGGAGGTTCCTCTTCTCCTCCTGCCGTGGCTGGCGGCTCTTCTCCGGCAGGGGAAGCTCTGCACCCTCACGGCAGTTGCTGGCCTCATCTCTCTGGGGCAGCTGGGGATGGCTCTCTTTGGCAGCTCGCTGGCCTGGCTCGCAAGCTTCCCGTGGCTCCGGAGCCTGGGGCAGAGGTGGGCAGCTCTTGGCCTCCCTGTCCTCACACGCCCTCACCGGGCAGCTGGATTCGGGCTCCCATGGGACCTGCTCCTTGGCAGCTTTTGATCCATCTCCCCGGGACTGATGGTCCTTCTTTTCTGCGTGAGGCATCTTGAGGTGCTGGCTGTCCCTCCTGTCCTCCTTGGGCTTTGCCCGGCAAGGGTCACCCTTAACACCATCCGGCTTGGAGGCAGAAGCCTGGTGAGGCCTTTCCTTCACCCCTGTTTCAGACCTCTCCTGTGGCTCGTTGAGATCCCCTGTGTTTTCCTGGGAGCTAGAAGCTGGTGTGCCCCCTTGCCGCGGCAGTTCGGACTCCCCTGTTTCTCGCTCATCCCTTTGGGGTCGTGGCTCTGAGTGGTTCCTTCTGTCACACGGGACTGCTGGTGGCTGGGGTGAGACAGAGCACTTCTTCACGTAGATGGGCTGCCCCAGGTCATGGGGCTGGTGGCAGACGATCTTGTAGTTGGTACCTTCAGGATCATTCAAATTCTGGATCACGTGGATCAAGTACGCAATGGTCTGAGGCTCGCAGGACTGAGGGATGACCTGCACCTCTGGCCGTACATCAGGCTCAGCGGGGATGTAACGGACCCTCATGTTGCTGACAGATGACTCCTCTCCTGAGGGGCAGAGGTCTCTGTTATCCACATCCACGGTTTGGTAGAGGCACCTTTCGTGCCTTCGTCCTTCATCCTCATGTGTCCAGCAGCTGTCTGGCTCACGTGCTTCTTCCTCATGTAAAAGCCTGTGGTTCCTCCATTCTTGGTCTTCCGAGGGCTCGCAGGGGGTGCTTTCACACAGCTTACGCCGTAAATCATTTCCCTGACGGTGGCACAGAAACTCTCTCTCCTGTTCTTCTTCAAGTATCTGGAGGCTGCTTCCCTCGCGTGTCTCCCTCTGGTTGGCTGTCTCACCTCGCTCTTCCCTTTCGCGTGTCTGGTGGCTGCGGTGCTCATAGGCCTCCAGCTCCAGCTCCCACTGGCGATCGATCCTCCTCTCCCGCACGGGCTCTTCCCTCTCTCTTCCCCGGCAAACCCTCCTCTCATCCTCTGGTTCTTCACACTCATGGCGACGGTCCCTCCTTTCCACGTCCTCACGTGGCTCCAGTTCCCGGGACTCACGGTGGATCTTCACGTCTGCTTCTGCTGCCGCCACCGCAGTCTCTCGTGTCCTTTCGTACCTCACTGACTCACGTTGTCTCCTTCCATCGTCTTCGGGCTCGCGTGTTTGACAGTCCCGTCTCTCACATGCCTCTCTCTGGTTTGTCGTGGCACCTCGCTCTTCCCTTTCGCGTGTCTGGCGGCTGCGGCGCTCATAGGCCTCCAGCTCCAGCTCCCGCTGGCGATCGATCCTCCTCTCCCGCACGGGCTCTTCCCTCTCTCTTCCCCGGCAAACCCTCCTCTCATCCTCTGGTTCTTCACACTCATGGCGACGGTCCCTCCTTTCCACGTCCTCACGTGGCTCCAGTTCCCGGGACTCACGGTGGATCTTCACGTCTGCTTCTGCTGCCGCCACCGCAGTCTCTCGTGTCCTTTCGTACCTCACTGACTCACGTTGTCTCCTTCCATCGTCTTCGGGCTCGCGTGTTTGACAGTCCCGTCTCTCACATGCCTCTCTCTGGTTTGTCGTGGCACCTCGCTCTTCCCTTTCGCGTGTCTGGCGGCTGCGGCGCTCATAGGCCTCCAGCTCCAGCTCCCGCTGGCGATCGATCCTCCTCTCCCGCACGGGCTCTTCCCTCTCTCTTCCCCGGCAAACCCTCCTCTCATCCTCTGGTTCTTCACACTCATGGCGACGGTCCCTCCTTTCCACGTCCTCACGTGGCTCCAGTTCCCGGGACTCACGGTGGATCTTCACGTCTGCTTCTGCTGCCGCCACCGCAGTCTCTCGTGTCCTTTCGTACCTCACTGACTCACGTTGTCTCCTTCCATCGTCTTCGGGCTCGCGTGTTTGACAGTCCCGTCTCTCACATGCCTCTCTCTGGTTTGTCGTGGCACCTCGCTCTTCCCTTTCGCGTGTCTGGCGGCTGCGGCGCTCATAGGCCTCCAGCTCCAGCTCCCGCTGGCGATCGATCCTCCTCTCCCGCACGGGCTCTTCCCTCTCTCTTCCCCGGCAAACCCTCCTCTCATCCTCTGGTTCTTCACACTCATGGCGACGGTCCCTCCTTTCCACGTCCTCACGTGGCTCCAGTTCCCGGGACTCACGGTGGATCTTCACGTCTGCTTCTGCTGCCGCCACCGCAGTCTCTCGTGTCCTTTCGTACCTCACTGACTCACGTTGTCTCCTTCCATCGTCTTCGGGCTCGCGTGTTTGACAGTCCCGTCTCTCACATGCCTCTCTCTGGTTTGTCGTGGCACCTCGCTCTTCCCTTTCGCGTGTCTGGCGGCTGCGGCGCTCATAGGCCTCCAGCTCCAGCTCCCGCTGGCGATCGATCCTCCTCTCCCGCACGGGCTCTTCCCTCTCTCTTCCCCGGCAAACCCTCCTCTCATCCTCTGGTTCTTCACACTCATGGCGACGGTCCCTCCTTTCCACGTCCTCACGTGGCTCCAGTTCCCGGGACTCACGGTGGATCTTCACGTCTGCTTCTGCTGCCGCCACCGCAGTCTCTCGTGTCCTTTCGTACCTCACTGACTCACGTTGTCTCCTTCCATCGTCTTCGGGCTCGCGTGTTTGACAGTCCCGTCTCTCACATGCCTCTCTCTGGTTTGTCGTGGCACCTCGCTCTTCCCTTTCGCGTGTCTGGCGGCTGCGGCGCTCATAGGCCTCCAGCTCCAGCTCCCGCTGGCGATCGATCCTCCTCTCCCGCACGGGCTCTTCCCTCTCTCTTCCCCGGCAAACCCTCCTCTCATCCTCTGGTTCTTCACACTCATGGCGACGGTCCCTCCTTTCCACGTCCTCACGTGGCTCCAGTTCCCGGGACTCACGGTGGATCTTCACGTCTGCTTCTGCTGCCGCCACCGCAGTCTCTCGTGTCCTTTCGTACCTCACTGACTCACGTTGTCTCCTTCCATCGTCTTCGGGCTCGCGTGTTTGACAGTCCCGTCTCTCACATGCCTCTCTCTGGTTTGTCGTGGCACCTCGCTCTTCCCTTTCGCGTGTCTGGCGGCTGCGGCGCTCATAGGCCTCCAGCTCCAGCTCCCGCTGGCGATCGATCCTCCTCTCCCGCACGGGCTCTTCCCTCTCTCTTCCCCGGCAAACCCTCCTCTCATCCTCTGGTTCTTCACACTCATGGCGACGGTCCCTCCTTTCCACGTCCTCACGTGGCTCCAGTTCCCGGGACTCACGGTGGATCTTCACGTCTGCTTCTGCTGCCGCCACCGCAGTCTCTCGTGTCCTTTCGTACCTCACTGACTCACGTTGTCTCCTTCCATCGTCTTCGGGCTCGCGTGTTTGACAGTCCCGTCTCTCACATGCCTCTCTCTGGTTTGTCGTGGCACCTCGCTCTTCCCTTTCGCGTGTCTGGCGGCTGCGGCGCTCATAGGCCTCCAGCTCCAGCTCCCGCTGGCGATCGATCCTCCTCTCCCGCACGGGCTCTTCCCTCTCTCTTCCCCGGCAAACCCTCCTCTCATCCTCTGGTTCTTCACACTCATGGCGACGGTCCCTCCTTTCCACGTCCTCACGTGGCTCCAGTTCCCGGGACTCACGGTGGATCTTCACGTCTGCTTCTGCTGCCGCCACCGCAGTCTCTCGTGTCCTTTCGTACCTCACTGACTCACGTTGTCTCCTTCCATCGTCTTCGGGCTCGCGTGTTTGACAGTCCCGTCTCTCACATGCCTCTCTCTGGTTTGTCGTGGCACCTCGCTCTTCCCTTTCGCGTGTCTGGCGGCTGCGGCGCTCATAGGCCTCCAGCTCCAGCTCCCGCTGGCGATCGATCCTCCTCTCCCGCACGGGCTCTTCCCTCTCTCTTCCCCGGCAAACCCTCCTCTCATCCTCTGGTTCTTCACACTCATGGCGACGGTCCCTCCTTTCCACGTCCTCACGTGGCTCCAGTTCCCGGGACTCACGGTGGATCTTCACGTCTGCTTCTGCTGCCGCCACCGCAGTCTCTCGTGTCCTTTCGTACCTCACTGACTCACGTTGTCTCCTTCCATCGTCTTCGGGCTCGCGTGTTTGACAGTCCCGTCTCTCACATGCCTCTCTCTGGTTTGTCGTGGCACCTCGCTCTTCCCTTTCGCGTGTCTGGCGGCTGCGGCGCTCATAGGCCTCCAGCTCCAGCTCCCGCTGGCGATCGATCCTCCTCTCCCGCACGGGCTCTTCCCTCTCTCTTCCCCGGCAAACCCTCCTCTCATCCTCTGGTTCTTCACACTCATGGCGACGGTCCCTCCTTTCCACGTCCTCACGTGGCTCCAGTTCCCGGGACTCACGGTGGATCTTCACGTCTGCTTCTGCTGCCGCCACCGCAGTCTCTCGTGTCCTTTCGTACCTCACTGACTCACGTTGTCTCCTTCCATCGTCTTCGGGCTCGCGTGTTTGACAGTCCCGTCTCTCACATGCCTCTCTCTGGTTTGTCGTGGCACCTCGCTCTTCCCTTTCGCGTGTCTGGCGGCTGCGGCGCTCATAGGCCTCCAGCTCCAGCTCCCGCTGGCGATCGATCCTCCTCTCCCGCACGGGCTCTTCCCTCTCTCTTCCCCGGCAAACCCTCCTCTCATCCTCTGGTTCTTCGCACTCATGGCGACGGTCCCTCCTTTCCACGTCCTCACGTGGCTCCAGTTCCCGGGACTCACGGTGGATCTTCACGTCTGCTTCTGCTGCCGCCACCGCAGTCTCTCGTGTCCTTTCGTACCTCACTGACTCACGTTGTCTCCTTCCATCGTCTTCGGGCTCGCGTGTTTGACAGTCCCGTCTCTCACATGCCTCTCTCTGGTTTGTCGTGGCACCTCGCTCTTCCCTTTCGCGTGTCTGGCGGCTGCGGCGCTCATAGGCCTCCAGCTCCAGCTCCCGCTGGCGATCGATCCTCCTCTCCCGCACGGGCTCTTTCCTCCTTTCATCATCTTGTTCTTTGCACTCCTGACCCTCATGGATGTCTGTCTCACTTTCTGGACATTCATGCTCATGTTTTTGATTCTTCCGTTGTTCATCAATACCTCTTTCTGGCTCACAGATCTCGTAGTACCTGAGGTCAAGTTCTAGCGGTTCCTGAATGTATGACTGATGTGGGTGTCTTGAGTCTAGGCAGTCAGTCTCACGCGGCTGGTGACTGCTCTGTTCAAGTGCTTTTTTTTCTAGCTCACATAGGTGGTAGCGGCTTCTCTCTTCAGGGTCTAATTCAGGTTTATGTGGCTGGGTATTACTTCCTCTCTCTGCTTCTTGTGGTCGCTGGTTTTTTTGATCAGATGCTGGTAGTCCTGCGGTAGTGGTAGGCCCATGTGACTGATGGCTACTGCACCGCTTTGGCAGTGGTTGAGGTTGACAGATCTGGCTGCGACTCCTCACATCTGCCAGTTGTTCTGGCTGAGGCCCCTCTTGATTTTGCCTCTCATCTGCCTGCACTCCGGGCTCATGTGCTTGCAAGCTGCCACGCTTGCAGAGTTGTACATCTCCTCGTCTGTCTGGCTCCGGTGGCTGACGTCTTCTCTGGCTGTTCCGTTGGTGGCATGGCTCTTGGCTTTGTTCTTCGTGTACCTGAGGGATTGGCTCCTCCGGCTTGCTGCTTTGCTTTGCATCGTTTCTGCTTTGTGTGTTACGTTGCTGGTGATGACTCCCTGTTCCCTCTAGTGTTTCAAGCTTGTTGACCCTGGTGTCTTGTTGCAGCTCAGGTTCACAGGGGGGATGGTGATCACTCTCACAGGTTTGTTGTTCCTCCTCCTGGAGCTGCCGACGGCTCCCTCTGTTCTTAATGTCCGGCTCTCGGAGTGACTTGCCACTGGTTGTCAGCGTTGTTCTTTGCAGAAGGCTTGGTCCCTTCGGCAGGTACCAGTAGCAGGCCTTAGCCACTCTGAACACCAGAAGCAGGAACTCATTAAAATCTATTTCCCCATCACCATCCCACTCCAGAAACTGCAGAATCTTGTCAATTGTCTGAGGGTCGTGCGGCTTCTGCAGGCAAAACACACACAGGGAAAAAAAAAAAGGGGTTTTAGCCTTCCTGCCTCTTGTCAGAGAAGTGCAAAGACAGGGATAATTGCAGTCTTTTCTCCTTCCATGTCTCACACCTTCACTTTTATAGCTCAGCAACAACTCCATGTCTTTGTTCTCCATTTTCCCGGTTGTTCCGTGGCTGTAGCTAACCAGCTCTCTTCTCTTTGGGATATGCTGTATCCCTCTACTGGATGCATTTCCTTTCTACCTTTGAAAGAAAACCATACCTCCCCGCGATTCGTTCTCCAGCTTTTGCCCATTTGCTCATGACAAAATGGGTTGGAAGAGCTGGTGAAGCAGTCAGTGCGAAGGAAGCAACTGCTGCTCCTCTTTGGTGAAAGCCTCCCCATCCCACTGTCATAAGAATCATCCCCTCTCCAGAAGGAGATTTTGCAGTCCCTGCACTCCACTCTTGGCCTCAAGCCCTCCACCTCGCAGCAGGACTCACAGCTATGACATCTGCAAACTCCCTCTGGATGAACTCTTTCATCTTCCTTCGGCTGAAGTTGGAGCAGTCTCCATCTTCCTTTGCATGTTTGTGAAAGACGCTGATGATGGTGGAAACGCTGTCTAAGAAGCGAGACATCTTCCTGCAGATTCAAGCAAGCCTGCGAGAAAAGGAGCAGATCTAAGGATGGGAGATTCGCTTGCCTCTGAGCATGAAAAGAGAGGGGAGAACTGCTGGGGTCAGGCTGTGTGTGTTAACAGGACCCTGGGTGCCGTGTGCTGTGTGTCCGCTCCTGTGCCATGGTGAGCTCTGTTTCACCAGAGCACTGGGAAGAAATTCAAATGCTTAGGGGTTTTAGTGGGATGGGGAGTGTCCTCCAACTTGTCTACTGACGTATTTGAATGATGTTTGGTAGGGGAAGGCAGGATGCCATGCCTCCCCTCCCAGGATCGCAGGGAGGGGACTGGGAGTGGTGACTCAAGAGATGCCCCAAGAATCCATCCCCAGGGGGCTATACCAGGTACTTATGTTTCCAGGACTCACGCTGCTATCTCTGCCTGGCACTAAGATAGACCGGCTTCTCTGGAGCAGGTTAGAGGATGTCTAAAGCAGCGCTGGCATGGCCTGAGACAAGATCTAGCTGGGTCAGAGACAGGTAGAGTGCTTACAGGGAGTTAAAACAAGCCCTGTGGCTGATGCTCCTGTGGCTGATGCTCCTGTGACCAGTAGTAATGCAAAACAATTGATAAAACTTTCATTACAGCATCAGTTCGACTGGCAAATAGATTTTCACCAGAGAGGGACTGTCAGATCACCTAGCCAGAGCGACTTATTTAATTTTGCTGAGATCTGCTTGGCAGAAAGCAGTGCTCCCGTTGGAGCTTTGTGCCTGGAAACCTCAAAAGCCACCTCCTTCCTTCCTCCTCACAGCATTCCTAAGCCTGTTATCAGGTACATCAGTGCTGAGATCTCAGCTTGCAGCTGGGGAAGCTGTGCCGTGTCTGCCTTGCCGCCTCTATAACGTGCACGTACGCATGGACACATGTGCACACCTCTGCATACGAAATCCTGGTTTTTGGTGTTTCTGTAGAAAACAGAAAATTTCTCCAATCTGTTCATTCTGGCTGGGAGCTGACTCCAGACCAAAGTGAGGCACAAAACCTGTCTGCCTCTCTTGTTTTCCCTTTGAGAAAAGCTGCCTCGACACACGGACACACGACGGCAGCATGCAGGTGTCCGAACAACACAAAACAAGACTTCACTGGATATAAACGCAAAAGACTCTCAGAAAACACTGCAGCAGGAATGACGCTGCCACCCAACATGAATCCTATAGAAATAACATGTCCTTGCCCAGCAAAGTGCACGTTTCAGAAGGAGTGACTTACCCAAATCACCAACGGGATCAAGTGGGATTCCTGTGAAGCCGTGCGAAGTGATCGGAGGACCTGAGTGCTTTTATAGGGTCCTTGACGGAGCTACAGAAAGGAGACACCCTTTGTGGACGTTGTCCTGATTCATCTTTGGCCAAGCCCAGCTGCACCTTCACGTCCTCAAACGGGTTATTTAACTTACCATCCCCTTACCTATCATTTTAACCCAGAAATAGCAGTTGCCATGTGGCAATTCAGGCACTGGCTGGTTCCACCTAATCCAGACTGTAAAGTTATTTTACAGGCTGATTGTATTTCAGATTTTAAAAAATCTAGAGTAGCTATAAAGTGTATAATGGGAGAGTGTATTTTTACATAAATGTGCATTTGCATATGTATGAATTTATATCTGTATAATAAACACACACACACACATAAAAATAGTACCAGAATGAAGTTTTGAGGATGGGGACAGAAGTGCTGATGGTAGCAGAGCTCACTATGAGCAGATCAGGGACAGTCGAGATCTGTATGGCCCATGATCTTGGTACCGCAATACCAGAGATTATTTTTGTTTGCTTTTTGTGCAGTTCCTTCGGCACCTCGGGCCTGAGGTCAATGGGGTTTGGGTCTGGCTTTCGCTCACAGAAGGACGGAAGAAGACCTAAGTGCTATGAAAATAGTGAAATGCGGGTGCACAGCAGTGAGATCCCCAAATCCTCCAGATCTTGGCTTGTGTGTCATCCTTGTAGAGTGTGCTGCAAAATGTGTTTTATTTTTGGTAACTTATTAAGGAGCCTTTTTCTTATATCATCCAGTTTTTTGTTGGGAAAAAAACCCAACTACAAACAGAACGTTTTTAAATGGTAAAGTTTGCAAAATGAATTTTTGTACAAGAAAATTTCTGTTCAATAAGCAATGACTTTTCACTGAGAAAAATCACGATAAAACATTTTTCATATTAACGGTCTTCCACGAACGACTTTCATTTCAACTTTGCTTGATCTTTAATTAAAAATAAAAGCAGAAACCTCTCTGCTGAGAGGTCGATTCATGTTGAATCTTCATCTGGTTGCCCTAGGCAGCTTTTGCTGTAATTACCTCTACAATCTTCTTTTTTTTAATCTTTTAACTGTAAATTAATTAGAGACCAACTGATTCCTTTGTTCACCCCTAACTCTCCCAGTACACGGAGCAAATAAGGAAGACACCAGCCGTGCCACCTGGGCCCCTGCTTTTGGTTTTGGAGGTAGGATGCTGCCTTGACAAGCATGATGGAGACATTGCGGAGAGCCTTCAGAGCATGAACTTGTCACGCAGCCTTGGGTGAGTGGCTCATCTGGCTCATCTGTAAGGTAAGATCATACTGGGTGTAGGAGCCTAATTAATTAGTGCTGGTAACACCTTGGGGATACTCATACAAGTGCGTACGAAGGATTGTTACTAACCATACTTCATTTTTGAGCTTTTTTTCAAGATTAAATTATACTTGTGCAAATTATACCCCACCTGTGGGATAATAATACCCTTGGGAAACTGTAATTTTATGGTAGATTGGAGTTATTATTAAAATTAGAGTATTACAGTGCGGCTTGGTGTCCTGTAACAGTCTGTAATCCCCCCCGCAGGGGCTGGGGCAGTGCGGGATGGTCGGGTGCCACGTGAGCCACCGGGCAGAGTTTGGGGATTGATGCAGGAAAAGGTACGTCGCGTTTCGGCCATGCGCATGCTGGCACGCTCGCCTGCTTTCCCGTGCTTTGCTACCATTCCCAGGACAAAGCAATGAGTTTCAAAGCGCGTTCTTGGCAGCACTGAAACCCCCTTTTCTCCAAGGACTTCATTTTCCCCAAAGATGCTTTCATAAGACAGGACTTGCGTAGGTTTTTAAAAGCTGTTACCCAAGAGGGTGGGCTCTGTCCTCCTGCTTCTTACTCAATTCTATGCCCGTCCCCATCACGGTTTATATAGGGCGACCAAGCTTCTATTGCATTTAATCTTAGAGGAACTGGGCCTCTCATGTGGTGTATAAAAGACCTTTTCTCTTCCAACACCTCCCAGGCTCGCAGGACTCTTAGACAGGTATTTGTGTCAGCAGGGTAATTTTCATGTTCTCCTTAAAATGAACTAAAACCCCCCTCTTAACCTCAAATATGACACTCCTGATGGCAAAAATGGTGTTATTCAGAATAGAGCATATAATTAGCATGTCCCTAACAGTGCTTGGTGCCTGCCTGAACTGGGAGGTCGGTTTTTTATTGATGCTGCAAAAGGTGGCAGCTGATGGACAGACAGACTACAGGGGGATGGTTGGGTCTGGTGATTTTAGAGCCTAAGCCAGAGCTAATAAGAAGCACAGAGCTATTGGACGAACCTCTAATTGAGACCTATTTTACAAGAAAAAATGGAGTTCTCTGGAAAATGAAATGTTTTGAGGAATGTCTCAGATGGAATGGGGGTTTTGACAGACAGGTGATGAAATGTAAGTCTTGACTCTCCCATTTCATGTCCACAGTTGTCATGAGATAGGTCAGAACTTATTATTGCTGATATGCTTTATCAGTAGTAGAGCAGACTGGTGTACTTTGTGTCTAATACATTTAATTTTGACATTAGCACAACCAAATCATTTTTGTGATGTACATTCTGGGGATAGTTTTGAAATGCTGGTTTTTCTGATTCAGCGTTTAGCAAATTGTGAAATTCTGGGGTGTCCAAGAGGAATGACGTTTTATTTTCCAGTGAGGTCTCTGCGTGCTGCTTGTCACCGGCCACAGAGCAGGAGGTGCGGGTGCATTTATCATGTGCTGATTTTGCTGATAGGTTGCAAGTGAAAGATAGCATGGGGAAAAACAGGCTGAGCATCACCCTCCCTGCGGGATGCCGAGTCCTGGGCCTGCGTGGTGGTCCAGCACGTCTGAACCCCCTAATAAACCCCACTGACTTCACCGGACTGCTCATGCCCTCAGAGTTACCCACATTCCTATGTGCATGTCTGGACAAGTGCCCGAGGACCTGGTACCCCGAACTGCCTGAACTGAATCTGAGTTTGAGATTGGCTCCGTCTGTGCACGGTTTGCACGTCAGCTTTTTACCTCTGGCCTCCCAGTTGTTGCTGGGGCTGGATGTACCCAAATCATCATTTTTCCTGTGTTTAATATATCTCCACTCCTTCCTCTGGAGACTTCCATAGCTAATAGGGATTTTTTATCTTCATAGCATGCTCCACATTCCCCTTGCTTCTGAGATTATTAATAAGTGAGGTTAAATAGGACAAATCCCTCCCATTCAGTGTTAAGCAGCTGTTTATTCTTTTCACAGCAGACATGAAAAATGCCCGGAGCAGATGGATGCTGTGAGGAATCTGTTCAGGTCGGCCATGCTGTTGTGTTAATTCAGACTTCTACCCCCTCTGAAGACATCTTTCGCAGGGATGTCACATCCCTGCCCGTGAGGAGCAATCGATTCACCTCGGCTAAATTGCGAAGGCAGCTGAGCAGCAGCTCCTGTAGGCTATCCACCCCCAAGACACACCTGCCTCTCTGCAGCTACCCCTCCATCTGCACCCTGGAGCAATCTGGCCATATGTCATGCAAGGGACGGACGCTCAGGTCCTCTGCACCACATCATGTCAACCTGGCTGGCTGCTCAGAGCAGGCTGAGGGCACGCTTGCAGCTACACACCAGGACACTGTGCCGTTTTTGCCTTCAGTTTTATTGCTTTGCTTACACAGGCAGAGGCAGCCTAACACAGAGTGAGAGGGAAGG